CTGTGTCGATGGAAGCACTACAAGGCGTGGCTAGCAGATGCAGAGCTCAGGCGATTCGGAATAGTACCTTGGTCGAAGCAGCCTGCAGTGCTGAAGCTGTAGAAGCGGCCAAATTTGAAGCTGCAACCGGATTCGGTGACCGGTGAACCAGCAGTGCCCGTAGTCCAAAATTTTCCCAAGCTCAAGAAGATAATATTTTCGGTTTCGATCTACCACAGGTGAACTTCGGCTGCCTCTGTACAAGACGATTGGGTAGAACACGCCCAATTTGATTTCACGCACGCATGCGAAGGAAGAAATTGATCAGTGGAAGTTGCGTTTGCTGGAAGCTTACAGATCGGTCTTTGCATAGTGACATGCCGGTGATTGGTGATTTACATTCTGGGTTCACCCTTGTTTGTGATCGGTAAGGCTGCTGAAATTGTCTTATTTTGTCGGTTGAAGAAGAAGAAGGGGAAAGTGGAGTGAAGTCGGTGGTTGGGAAAGGAGAGAGAAAGGCCTTGTTTGCTTCTGCACGCCAAAGGAGGGTAGAAAAGGGAATGTCGGTTTTCAGCTACTTTTGATTATTGGACCGTTGGGGAGCCAACGGTCCAAAAAAGGATTAAAATTTGGAAATCGGCCGGCCCAGACAAGGCCTTAATAAGGGGAACGATAAAATTGTTTAATAAACAAAATATTGGAACATCCATAATTTGAATTTGAATCATAAAATATTGTCTAAAAAAAATGTAAACATTCACAACTAATAAATTCACTATTAACGTTATTAAACAAAACAAACTAATGAATTTAAAGGCAGTAAAACTTATTATTTTCGTATGACAAAATCTCTTGACAATTCGCTACACCATCCCGACACAGTTCCAATTGACCTGATCTACCTTGTAAAAATTTGTAAGAGTGAGTATTTTAAAAAACACCCAGTAAGATATATGCAGTTTCCATACACAATTATATAACAATAATATAGTCAATTCATACCACAATTCTCTTTATTGAGTATATCGGTGATCAAGTGAGATACACATCATTTCTCATTTTGAATTCTCAAATGTTTAATCAAACGAGTTTTTGATAATAAAAATATACTTAGAATTTACAGTTGCTTTATATTAAAACTGTTGTGTAAAATTCACTAGTAGTGAATTGTGGACATTGACACACTATTTATAGTTAAAAAAAAATAGTAGTTGAGTCATGATGTAATTGTGATGGAAATCGAATTTATCACTTTTGATTAAAATTGAATTTATAGTAAATCAATTCGCAAGATGACATGTGTACAAAATACTTATCACAACAAAAATGTGGTTTTAATCCTAATACGTAATACTGATGGCAATTTGACTTTAAATAGAATTCTAAAAAAATAGTAATTATCTCACATTCATTCGCGTGGCTATTTTCATCCCAATTTATTTTAATTTAAAAATAAATAAATTACAATTTTTTTGAACTT